GTATACGCGCTACTTTTATAATTGGTAAAAGGTTTTTTGCTTACATGAAAGAGGGTAAGTTTGGCTGAGCGACATCGTCAAAACTTTTGAAGGAGTTCACTAAAATGTTCAACGGAATTACCCAAAACCAGGGGCTTTAATGTGCGCCTGCAAGATGGAGCCAACTAAAAATTTTCTGCCTGTGCGCGCTGCCGTATATGACAATAGCCGTGAAGAGTTCGTCTTAACCATAGTAGAGTTCCTTGCAAACAATCATGAGAAAGTACATTTCTCTTAACACAAGACTTTTGTCGGGACGGCTTTAAGCTCTTCTCTAGTAGAGTACCACGTGCTCTAAATCGTTACCCCCTTTTTCTACCCCCCCCCTACTCTGTGCTCTAAATCGTTACCCCCTTTTTCTAACCCCTCCCCCCATAACCACGAGATGGCTTTAAGCTATCCCATAGTAGAGTCACTAGTTATATAAATCGTTACCCACTTCTTCTAAGCACATTTTTTTTTACCAGAAAATTATCTTTAGCTTAACGCAGCTTCGGAAGTTGTGGCATCTTTCTGCTCTCTAATAGCAGACAACCAAGTACCCTAACGCTTCGAGTACTTTTTCGAAACACAAGTTTTCTCTATTAAACAGCGAAGCCAAGTGAAAACTAATCTTTGGCTGTGGGCGCTGCTGTCTATGACCACCGGTCTGAAGAGATTTTTTAAGTGTGAATACACTTTATAAGCGACCCCGAACCATCCACCGCCGTCGGCGGCGTCCGCAGTCTTCTCTCTATCTTTAAAAAAAAGAGGACTTGGCGGGCCGCAGTGCGACGCTCTACCGAATAAGCCACGGACGCGACGCTGATATCGGTGTCAGTAACGCGCCTTATACCACCTCCCCCTTCGCTCACTCCTACGCTCTCCTCGCTCGCTGCAGCTGCGCGCGCACCCCTCTCTCTCGCGCGCCCGCCTTCTCTCTTAGTGTCTTGTTGAGAGCGGGTCGTGCGATGGATGTCCCGGAGGCAACGCTACCATCAACTGAAGGTAAAATCCGTTGGCATTCGCCAGTGAGTTAACGTAAACTCCCCCATGTGATCAAATTGCGATTCCCAGGAACTATTACACCATAAAGGCACCATAGTGTGATTATTAAATATAATAGTGCGAATTATTACCCCTCATAGCATCACCCCGTGCGTGCGCACTTAACTGTGTTCACCCTCGGGGAAATGCTTGGGAGTTTTTCTACCAGATGTTTACCTTGAGCTCAACGCAGCTTCAAAAATCGTGACGGCTTTCTGCTCTCCCATAGCATACTACCAAGTACCCTAAAGCATTGAGTATTTTTCGAAACGCACATTTTCTTTATTAAACAGTTGTGAGCGTAAGTGTGAACGAATTAATCTGCATAATTTTTAAAATACTGCCGTATGCTTCCCTTTGCAATTTCGTTATTCAAATGCTTGGATACAAAGTTATTCTACAGCGTGTCCCGTATTCAAGTCATGGTACTTACACATAAGTCAGCATATTTACATTAATAGGTGGCTGTCTTCACGAGTGATTCCTTTCAGAGGTATAATGTTTTCACTTTCAAAAGTTTTCGTATCAGACACATGAGTCTGTCTCGCCATGGACAGTTTTTTTTTTGCCTATGTACTTAGCTTTACGCACAGTTGCAAAAAACCATGCAGTATCGAGGCTCACAAACTAACTCTAATGCGCTTGGCCGAGAATTCCACCGCAGTTGTAATTGTTTTGATCATGTACTCGCTTACTGATCATGTAGTTTCAGGCTTTCCTAGCAGTTATTTCGGTACTTCACCTAAACGAGTGGAAGTTAATTGCAACGGGTTGAGGTTAATTGCAGAAGCCACTACTTAGAATGCAGCATTGCAGCAATGGCACCGTTGCACTCGTAACTATACCGGTTTAGATAGTCCACTTGTAAATCATTTTCCTTGCATTTGATTACACCCAAGCTTCATTAACTTGTATGTGAGTATGATGTACGAAACCACGCACTGACTCATTGAGGCGAAGATCGTTTATTTGTCACGTGGTCCTCGTCGCTCAGAGCGTCATTGGAACCGTTCACAACACTCATTTACAATTTCATTCGTTTGATCTGAAGTGGCACGAAGTTTGATCGGACCAGCAGTTGATAGAAATTGTAATATACGGCCACATATTTCCGGGTGAGTATCTGTATAGAAGAAACATTTACTTTAGATACAACAACATCTCGGCATTTATCTGAATATTTTGTGTAACCATATATATTGTTCAACATTCTGTGTATGTTAAACAATGTATTGAAAGGTTTTATGGGAGATTCAGATACCGTATGTTTCAGCGAAAAGCGCAACTTTGTTAAATCACCCGAACAATCTGCATAAGAAACTGCGATGTAATCAGTGATTACGAAAACATCCTAATTTTACGTATAATTCTTTTGGACACATGTTCTAATCTCGAAGGGTATGCCAAGTGGTAATGAAGTTAGAATAATCAGCGTAAGGATTTTTAGCACTGATTTCTTGGTGCAAGCGGTGAAAACAACAAATGCCTTGCTGTGAAGCACAATTTCCACAGTGACTTTTTCGTCCAGACAGGAGTTTGCCCATCAGATTATCGGCGCTTTCTGTAGCTCACTCAACTTTCTCTAGCAGTCACTCAACTTTCGCTAGCAGCTCACTCAATTTTCGCTAGCACCTTGGCAGATTTGCATCGCAGCATTGGGCAGATATGACTACTGTATCGCGTATGAACGGGCACACAGCGGGCTCAGAAAAAGGCGGTACTCGGCCGCGAAGCAAGCAAGCTTGTCCTTACTATAACGTCACTTCACTGCGAGTGCCGCGCAACCAGCGTTCGTTCTCGAGTCTAATAGGTGAATCGAGAAACATGACTGACGTACTGAACTGCGCGTGAAGTGCGCCTTTTACTGGAGAATTTAAAACTACGAAAAATAGAAAAGATGTTGCTGCCCCCTTATTTCGAAGACACTGAGCATAGAGTGCAGAAATAAGTCTAGACCTAAGCCGTAAGTGCCTAAAATTCGTCATTCGTATTTTTGTCACCAGAGACCTCTCAAACTCGTCAGCTTGGTGAAAAGTAGCCATCAGTGGTAACCCTGCTTGCATCGGCTCAAATAGCAAACTACGCGTGGAGCACGACGAAGCTTGACGGCCTTAAAGAGGACGCCTTTGTCGAGAGCCTGGTTTGTATTGCGATCGCCGAGAATACTAAAAGTACACTCTTCACGAGCAGCGGCGAGTCGGTAAGACCAACGTGTCTCGCTTTTGGGAAGAACCAGCTGAATTCGACGCCACCGTTGACGGTTGCGTTCACTGGTGTCGTTTCTGCGGGCGTACCTCCCACATTCACCTTTGAAAAAGTTCGAGCTATTTTTTTTCACTATTTGCGTAAGCAACTAGAATTCTGTCCAAAGTTATTTCTCAGAAAAGCAGGCAAAACTGAATAATCCTTAAGACAGTCATGGCAGTTGCGGCCGTAGGATTACAAAGAATGGGAACAATGCAGACGCGCACGGTCGTGGATTTCATGGCCATTCTGGCGTTTTCGTTTTCACTTCACTTCTCAAGTGGGAATGTGGCCTAAGTCTGTACAACAGTCTTTATAGTAAGGTCTGGTATTCGAGCAAAAAAAAAAGGAAAATAGGCAACGCACCTCGCGGAATGTAGCGCTCACTAAATATATTCGACCACAATCATTCGGCCTTTCGCATGCAGCTCACGGCTCAAAGTTTAGTAGCAGCGTCCGCCTCGGTAGATGAGTGGCTAGTGTGCTCGGCTGTGAAACCAAAGGTGTCGGAATTCGATCCCGACCGCGGCCGTCGCATTTTGATTCAGGACAAGCGGTACGTCACGTGTGCTGTGTGATGTCAGTGCATGGTAAAGAAGGCCAGATAGTGCTAATTTCTGGAGTCCTCCACTACAGCGTCTCACAATAGTATCGTGATTTCCGCAAGTGAAACACTAAATAATATTCATATTTATTAGTAGTCCGGTTACTCTGATGAAACGACTTTGCATATCGCTCGTACTAAAACGACCATGCCGTAAATGCTCTTACCGTAACCCTAATATTGCAAGGAATGTACTGCTTCTGCCACCCGAATAAGGACTGCAGGTATGAATTTCAGGTTGAAGTTGCGCTCCACCATCCAGATATCAGACTTACATTGAACGCCTGCCACACCCTGTCATATCGTAGCTCTTTCAAAGAGCAATCAGCGTATACGAATGATATCACGTCCGCCCCCACCTAAATTAGTGGTGGAGGGTGTGGAACTTTGTGAAAACACGTGAATACATTCTCTGTAAGACTTTTGACCAGCTTAATGTCCCCTGCATATCTGTAGCCTGCTTTAACGTTCAAAAATTATCAATCACGTGTATGCTTTCAAGTTCGTATATACTCCGAAAAAAACAGACCTTTGAGTTGTTTGTGTTAGTTGTCACTTGCTATAGTGTATGAGTCTCCGTAACCAAACACATGAAGTATATATCTTGGAATGTCATTTTCTGCAGATTGAAAGTCAGGGAACGCTTACAAGAGTTACCTTGTCTCTTTAGACAAATTCGATGCAGCACACATGAGGACTCACCGAAGAGAGCAACGCATATTGCTTTTGCCTTCTCAGAGCGTTGGCGCGGACACCCGACCAACCTCAAAGACCTTTCATTTTGGCCATGTCTTTGTTAAGCCCACCCAGATCATGTTTTTCAAGCCACCACTCTATGTTGGTGCTCACGTAAGGACCTCATAAAGTTATTCACCCGTCCATCTATTATACAGTGTCCCTTGGTATATATTATTATTGCTTTTGTAGTAATCTCCCGAAAAATGTTATTAGTGAGTTTAACATGCATGTGAATGTGGGTGGCAGTACTGAGAAACACGACATTACGAATTTCATTTAAAAAGCTTCCTGCATCTACAAAACAAGCACATGCCAATAAATCTGAAAAGCAAAAAAAAAGCGTACTTACAATCGTTGGCAACATATGCGTAGAAATTGACAACGCAAGAGTGCGCAATATGGCCCAGCGGAGGTGTCACCATTGATATGGCACTGCTTGGCGCTGGCGCATCTGCAATTTTATTAATATTGAACTTCGAAGTAAAAATGTGTGTTTCAGTGATATTAGTAGAGGTGAATACGCTAAAGCATGCTTGCCATCTTTTTATACCGCAGTTGGTTCAAACATGGACTTTTCTTACCAGCATTGAGTAGCGAATATGCTGCGTAGGCTCCATCCGGGTTCAATTTGCTATCACTGCTGGGGAAGAGTCCGTTTAGCTTAGCGCCTCGAGCAGTCGTTCGCTTCCATCCAAAGCGCTGCATTGGTCTCTTCATTTTCCAGGCCACACAAGCCTTTCGTAAACTCGTCGCAGGCTCCTACAATGAGATGGTCGTCTCAATACTTGCAAGAAGAAAGAAACGTCAGCCGTGAAGGGTGAAGCGAAGTTTACGATCCCGCTTCACGCTTAAGGAAATATAAGGGAGTAAAATTTTCATACTATAGCAGGTCCTGTTTAAATATTGGATATATCTAGGAAACTATATAATAAATGTCTTCTTTCTGGCTGTTGTTAAGCCTTTAAGTGGAACCTCATTATAGTAGTTAAGAGGAGATCGGCCTGCGCCACAGAAGAGCAAATGTGCGTTGCCTTTTTTATTTTCCATTTCCTTGTGAAGGAGAGTTTCTATAGCCAACTGCTCAGCAACTAAGCGCACCTCGCATAAAGCCAGTCAGAGAAGAGAGAGAGAGAGAAAGCGAGCTGTGTTAAACTTAGAAGCGAGAAACAGTTATCACAAACCAGTGAACAAACGCCAGTGAATCAGCGCTGCTTTGGCCGGTACCAATATCTTTCGCAAATATTTATAAAATATTGATTTATTCAACTTAAGCACGGTTAGTGATAATGGTCTAAGGGCAGTCTAATATAGGAGGAGGTGAGGTGAACCAGGAGCGACATTTTCAAGAACTCATATTCCTAATTGCAGGTCATGCAGGTTTGCTACTCCTTTGTCCTACTACATTGTTCAAGAATGTCCTCGCTTCAATGAAAATATGATGGCAAACAAGTAATATGCTTTGTGAAATACTCTTTCACAAGAAATGCCGAAATGAAAAGTTCACTTTGCCATAAAAGTGCTTCTGTCCGTTTCAATGAAATGATGACATCTTTTTGTGCACTTTCATTTGATCAGTTAGCAAAAAGCAGAAAACAAAGCAGCCCCTGAATGTACAACGATGTCGACACTTGGTAGAGAGCGCGAGGAGCCGGCTTTGCTCTGCTGAACGGCGCCTTTCAGCTGTTGCGATATGTGCCGATGAGCATGCGCGGCTTAATTGTTTGATATTGGCGCTCAGGCCAGAGTAAACTGTAGCTCTGGTCAACCTCTCTGCAGTCCTGTAAATACATTTTCTCTTTCTGCGACTGTTAAACCAAAAGTAATGTTGGTAAGCTCTTTTATTTCGCCAGCTGTGCGCATTACTCAAATTTATCACTTTTTTATATGACTACATATCCCTAAACAGCAAGAAAGCGCGCAATATTTTTCCCTGAAATAGTCCGACTCAGGGCGCTTGTGCCATCCAGATGCTACAAGCGTCCGGAGGTAGAGTCCAAGTCTAGTTAAACACGGGCACTCTTGAACGTTTCCACTCGTATATGGCAGGTCAACTTGCACCGTAGGCAGCGCAAGCTCAAGCACGCCCGACACGCCATACCCTAGAACCACCGCGTGGTGTCGCCCCACAGAAGAAGACTGACTGCTCATGTGCTCTACACAGGCGTGTACGGGGTTGTACTTATTTTGTCATGACAAAAAGAGAGAGAAGAAACTCAGCATTACGCGATGCAATTTAAGCCCACTGTGTTGGTCCAACACGTGATCGAAAGCTGATAGCTTACTGTGGGTTTTAGTCCTATCGGATAAGTTCTGTTTTTGAAACACCTCCACGAGTCGGCCAAACTGCACCAAGACAACACACTTCGATCGAAAGACTACCGGGCACTACAGACATGAGTCTCGGCGACTCTCGTTTACTGGTTAATCTAACCGCAAAAGAACACGTGATGAGTCAACACTGTTGGCTTCAATAGGGGTTGGCTGGCCTAGGCTAACTACATCATGCAATGCTTCATCATCTCTTTTATCTTAAGTCATGTAATTTATTATCTGGCAAACCTTGCTGAAATTCCTGTCCCTCATTCTTAGTGACTCATTGTCAAAATACGAAGGAGCATAAAGAATGCATTGACAGAAAGAGGGGGCATTCGTTTATGCATAATAAGTAATAACTTAGAGTGTTTTTATCAAATATCTTGTTAAAATTTCTGCCAGAAAAACTTTGTAGGACTTGTTTGTCAAAAAGACAAATACTTTTTATGTGCACGCTTTGCTTTGTAAACATTCCACCACCTCCCGTTTCGATAAACTTGTGCGCAGTCCACGATATAATAATTTACTTGTGGACGCCTACTTCAGCGCGCACTGTAAGAGAAGCGGCACCTGTCAGATAATGTTCATAAGAAAGCATCTTTACCATTATTTGCTTAAAAATAAAAATTTACCACATCTAGTTTCAGCTGAATTTCTTTGCATTTCTCTGCATGTCTTTGGGTGCGAGATATTATTGGAGCCTGGTATATTCTATAATTTATTGGGTGTTTAAAATTGGTGTAACTAGTTCGCATATAGCGTTTATTTGCCTTTGGGTTTCTGCTCAAGTTGTTACAAAAACATTTATCTCGATTACTGTTGGTAGACTTGTGCATCAGCACCACTTTTACTCATGTCCCTCATAATGTATTAGCTATAACCAGAAAACTTGAAGAAAAAGGCGTACTCACCTGGCTATATGTAGCACTTTACGTAGCAAATGATTAGGTAGGTCATCAGACCCGCGAGCAAGAGCCAGAGCACAAATAAATTTCATCTCCTCTAGAACAGATACGGTATTTGCAGACGTGCGGTTTTCTTGAAGGCGGGGCTCTGCTTAGATTACCTTAGCTACAATACTCTGAATAGAAGCCTCAAGTAAAGCATATTGTCATGGCTTCCATGGAAACCCAACAAAAACTGTTTTATATTTCAGAGAATACAGAGTGCGCTCTAGTGTTTTTTTTAATATATTCCGGTGTTAAACTCTGCTGCTTATAATACAATACTATTTACTGAAGATGCTGGATGCTAGAAACAAGGGCGTACTACATTTTCTGCCTTACTTACCACTTATGTGATATACCATTATAACACACCCGCATACATTAATAGGAATTTTCGTAACGAATTTATTTAGAGACCTTGATCACAAAGAACTCTTCCGTTTGCTTGGATTACGAGTAAATTATAAATTTATTATATGAGAATTCTGTGATACGATATTGTATTACTGAAATTTTCAAAATTACAAATTTTTGGAGCTTTCTTTATAAAATAGACCTGCAAGTATAAAAACTGCTCAAAATGACTGTGTTTCATTCACAGATTTTCAATATGCTGAGATCGCCGTATTGAATAGCCGTGCTTCTATAAATTTGTGAGTGATTTAGACAACTCAGTTGTCACGGCAATTTCACATGTAATCTAACATGATGAGAAAATACATGGAAATTATAGTGTTTGTGTCTCTAATGCATCAATAATAATGCTTACCACGAGTGTCAACATTCGGGATTCACTAGAAAAAAGCTACATCTGGTGTATGTGTCAGCAAATATATGCATACCACATTCGGCTTCGTCAGCCTCGTTGGAGCAGTCATTTTTGAAGTCACACACTTGACTCTTTCGAATGCACTGCTTGCTGTTGCCACACTGGTATTCGCTGACGTCACAGGTGAATGCTGGTGGAGAGGGCGTCGAAGCTTCTGGCAGTGCTTCGATAAAAAGTTGAGCAGTGTTAAATACCTATAATACACTCATATAAAAAGCTAGATATGAGCTTCTGAAGCATACATACGGTTAGCAAAGAGTGAAAGCAACTCTTTCAATTCAAGTATTTTAACAGCAAAGCAGTTTATTCTCGAAAAGCCTAAACAATCTGGAACAGAAATTGACATTATCATGTACCAGCATGCACTCTTTTCGTAGCCTTCAACATCTTCTTCCTGCTGCATCACTCGTAAAATCCTAGTGCCGATTGGTCTGTTGTAGGATGCATTAAGTTTGACGTGCGAGAAAACGAGCACGTAGAGAAAGACAGGAACAAACGCAGAGAGGAAGAAAGAGACAAACAGAAAGGGAAAGAAGAGCAATATTTTTGGCCAAACATATTTTCGGCGAGGCGGAACCCAGAACCGCGTGCCCACGACGCGAAGTCGAGCATTGTAACCACTTGGCTGTCTAGGCGCACTTGCAAAGCGTACCATTGCCCTATTAGTGTTGCGGTAGCAGCATCGTCGTCTGAAACCACCGAGACGCTCGCTCTTGCACAATCCGGGCACCATTAGCACGTGCCTTTACGTTCTAGTGTTTGAGTCAGTCATTAAAAACCTCTAATATAGGTGGTCGTAAAACTTGGCTTCGGTAGTCTGCGAAGCCGCCCGTTGCCACAATAGTGTATTATTGCAAGAGGATAGGAAAGCAAAGGCAGCGTGAGGAGCAGATATGTGAGCGTAAGCAGGAGAGGAAGCAGGAGTGTAGATAGTAAAATATAGCATGGTGTTGTATAATATAGTATAGCAAATGTGGAAAAAGGGAGTAGTTCCACGACGAAAGAAATAAAAAAAGGAAGAGTAAAGCAAAGATTTAGGTACTGCAGTATTTCCAAGGAGGTGAAAAAGGGAAGTGACAGTGAGAAAGAAGAATAAAGTAGGAAAGAGGGTGAAAAATAGCATGGCCTTGTAAAATATTTTGTGAGGTGAGAAAGGAAGTGACGTTAAGGAGGAGGAGAACACCATCGGCTCCTATGTCTCCTCAGTCAATGAAACACTAGTTTTATGTAGCTGCCCCAAGTTTTTTTTCTCTCTAATTTAGCTTTCCTAATTTTCTTCAGAAGATTCACGCTATAGGCTCGACACCATTCATTCTTTATGCATCTATAGTTCACCAAGGTCCTCTGTAACAAGTGTCGTCAATCCTTGTGATATCCGGACAACACGCGTGCTCGCTCAATGCGTTCAGCACTAGAACACTGCTGACTCCATCGCATTCATACCATGTCTAGGATGCCAATGTCCCCATAGCATCCCTAATGTATCGCTTGCTAAATTAACACTAAGTACCCGCCATTTCAGCATAGCAGCGAATATTGAGGAAGCAGGCTAAATTACTGGAGAATTTCAATGGCTGACTTGGAGCAGCTGATGGGCTCTGTGAGCGAGCACTCTACTCTGGCGTAGAGCAACGCCTCCTGGTCCGCCATCGGGACACATT